TCTATGCTGAAGACCCCTAACCCTCTGAGACATCTATGTATGATTCCATAACGGGAAGGATTGAGCTAAAGTATACGTCCTCATCATTCATAAACACCTCCCACTGCATCATCGATGGATCCGGTCAACTATTCCTGTATTGTAGCCCCCCGCGTTAGTGGCCCCGCGAGCCGGAGAACTCAGCATCGCGAAAGTCTAGCCAAGTGTCCAAGCCAATCCCCAAGAACGTGCATACAGCTCCCATAGTAGAGTTCGATAACCATCAGATCAAAAAGAGGTAGTCATACACAGGACACTCGCCAGGGAGAGCGCCCATTTGTGTCCTGCACGGAGTAACCGCTAGAGTCAAGGGCAAGCCTGGAACCCGAGATGCACAATCGGCAATAACTACGTGGATAACAAAAAGGCAAATTGCGATGTCCGGGCTACACGAGTCAGCGGTCTGGACAGCCGTACACCCAGCTTCGGGTCGTGCGCGTGCTGGCTCATCGCATCGACCGTGTCGCTACATCCTGGCTTGTTCAGGGGTGTTCCAATCCAAAACATTGGTGCAGCAGCGAGCTGGTCCCGCGCTCACTTTTGTCCCTTTTACAGATTAGACGTCGGATCTGCCTCCCAGTGGGCCCAGCAGTGCGGCCCTGGCTGATAGAGCTCCTAACTGTAAGTTCTGTTGGTCTTGGTGGACTTCGAGATATGACGTGTCGTGGCATACGGAGCGTACAATCCCATAGTGAGACATCGAACGGAAGTGTTATGAATGAGAAACTACATAGGTGACTTACGTAACCCCAGTTCTCACGAGTACATGAAGTAGAATGTCTACCAGGACGGCCCTCCTGCCTATGGTGAACGAGAAGAGTGCTTATATTGAATGACGCATGCGGCGTAGCGCAAGCTACTTATAGGGGGGGATTCCCTGACGCTGACGTCAAGATCACGCAGCCAATCAGGATTGGCGTAATGAGATTGATGCTTCTGTTTGCTCCGCGATGAGGCGCATCCCATAGTGAGACATCTCACTTCATGTTACTCTGAGAACTGGGGTTACGTAAGTAACCTATAGTTTAGTTCTGTGGGAACGTGATTTTTAGGAGACAGGGTTGCCATAACACATTCTGACGAAAAATACAAATTATTATGAATACAAATAAAATAAAAGAAGCCTCCCGTGAATAAGCTATAAAGTAGATTTTAAAAACGTTTTATAGAATAAAAGCTCACTGCTGGACGTTGTAGAAATGCGTGTGTGCACCACGACAAAGGAGCCTTCACTTTACATTGGCGTTGTTTGCGTGGTGCAGACACGTAAATGTAGCAGAGTGCGTGACTCCACCACGCAATGCTGTGTTAAGGAGTCGTGGTGGAGTCACGCATTCTGGTGGGATCAGGTTGCACCTGTACAGTGTTATGGTGAAAACATGTAGCACTTTCCTCATTAGAAGAAATGACTGCCATAACTTTGGAAAAACAAATTAGTGGTATGTCAATGTGATTTCTCTCAGAAACAGGTCCATTGGGAATACTGTATTTCATTACGCTACTGTATGTGCCATTGGCTTAAAGGTCATCTATTATGCAAAATCCACTTTTTCATGTATTTTATACATAAAGTGTGTCCCCTCTGTGTAAACCGATTCTGAAAGTTTCAGGAAAAAAGATTTGCTCACTTTTTGTCCTGATCCATTTATATAAAAACCTGTCTGAAAATGAGCTGATCAGATTTGCGCCACTTTGTGATGTCATAATGTTTTTTTGGCTTGTGTAACCATTAGCCAATAACCAACCAAGGTAACACCCGCCCACCTCATCACCTGCATCTCCTCCTAGAGCACCATTGTGTCTGTTTTTTTAACATAATATCTCGCAGAGGGGCGTTGGGAGTGGCTCTTTATTTTCTTCTAAAGTAACAGACAGAGAATCAGCACTTTTGAAACAGGGCTGATACAGAGGGGTTTATGGGATGCTACAATGCACAATCTGTTTGGTATTTCGAGCCAAACACTTCAGAGACATGTTTTGTATATATCTAAGATCTATAATATATTGAGGAAAAACAGTATAATAGGGAGCCTTTAAAAATGTTTCAGCCTTCACTGAAATTAAATGAAACATAAAACTAGATCCACTTACATTACAATGAACATCAAACTTGAACTTTAAATGTGAAACATTTTGTACAACCCCAATGAAGAATAAATAGTTGCTACACAAAGGGCTTGAAGTTGAAGCCCAGGACATAAAAGATAAAACTGCAGATACTTAGGATAGAATGGTGTCCAATTAAGTGGCTGGCTATTAATAGGGATACCATAATTAGTGCAACAATTTGTAGACTAAATACAGTACAACTCAATAAGGCATCTACCTTTCTTTCTTCATGATTAAAGTAAACTCATAGTGTCAAGAAGCCTCATGAATATTTTATTACAAATACATAAAATAAGGCATGATATGTTATCCCTTTAGTTTGAATGATTAAAACAAAATAAAACATATAACAATTTTTTTTTTTAACTTCTTCAACGTGAGTCTTCTTCAAAAAGAGTTCAGACATGCTTTATCCTAAATATGTTTTTTTTATCGGAATTCCTTTGCTGCTCATTCTATGGTTAATTGTATACCAATGATGTCTGAAATGTGAGGCACATCATTATTAAGCACAACAGAAGCCGATATTCTGCAAGTCAAAGTAAACCCTAAATCTTAATGCTAGGCGGAAATGTCGAAGTCGGAGTGTGCATTCACATGAAAGAGGGGGAAGATCTAAAGGATGCCATAAGCCGGGCTCTAGGGCCTGAACAGAGAGACCATGAAGACATGCTGGGAATATTAGAGAATGATTGATACTCACAGTTGGGGAACAGGGCAGAGCTAAGGAATGTTGAGAAGTTTTTATCTTACTCACTTTCTTTGAAATATGGTTTACAATCCTCCACTCATTTGCCTTTTCTCTAAGAACCTACAGATTATAACACAAGACACTCCCTTATTCTCTTCAAAAGACGCTTATCTATTCTGAACAGTGCAAGCCATCTCAGCAGACATGCTACCCCTCTTATACACTTTCTGTGTGTGTACCTCTTTAAGTGAATCAGTATCAACACACAACACCATGTACAGCATAAAATAACGTTAATTTAGATTTTTTAGGAACTGGACCTTTGGATACTTTTGGTTTATTATCCAATCTCAGGCTTACACTAAAATGAGAGTGTTGTAGGAAACAGAGCATTTCATTTCTACATTCATTTACTAATGGTTGAGTTTAAACCAATAAAAGAAAAACACTCCTATAAATATGTATCATAACAAATGATAACAAATGATAATGAAAGACATGATTATGAGACATAGCCTGAAACCATATGCTTATGAAAATGATTTAAAAGCATAGGCTATAGCAAACCTCGGGATTTAGAGAAAAATCTAAGCTATTAAACTAGCAAAACATTTTATGTATGGCAAAATAGTAAATGTCACACATTGGATTGACTGCTCAGAAGATCCAAACCACAAGATCCAACAGCGCTCAGAGTTTACAAACAGACAGTTTGTGCCAGGGTGCTCTGGCACTCACAGTCACTATTTACCATTCCACCGTTTATGGTACCTTTATGAAAATGAAATGAATGGAACTGTGAGAGACAGAGCTAGAAGGCAGGATAGTAAACATATTTAAAATGATTACATTTGAGCTTTGAAATGGTCTGTATTGACTTTATTGAAGAGGAGCAGATGAAAATAAGGGGTAATATTTAAAATTAAACTACTTATTTGGCAGTGTCATCTTAGAGTAAGTTTACATGAATAAATACCCCACCATCCCAAACTAAATAGTTAGAATAATAAAAACACATTTTCTAGAGACATTTATTTTCCCTCATGATGTTGCGGTTACTTAATAAAGTTTGATCGCCAATTTATTTGGTAACCAGTGCTGCTTTCTTGAAATCTCAGGCCTGACAAACTAGAAAGAGTTACCCTTAGTTGAATTCAAGTCATAGTTGTCTGCAAAAATGGAGAAAGATCCCTAAATCCCCCAATATTGTCCCTCCTCCTGACTCTGGTTCACTCTCTACCTTCTTCAAAATAAATGATCAGGCTCCTTAGTCTCTCATTTTGTCTGTCCCTCGTTTTGTGCCGTATTGCCAGCATTCGGTAGGTTGCCGCTGAAAACGACATTTTTGAGAGCAGTGACAATGAACATCAACAGAACTGAATGAAAAATCTAAATTAGCTGAAAGAAGAGACCCCTTTAAAATATCCATGTTATCCTACAGTATAGTGTGGCTACATAAAAACAGAAATAATAATAATACAAATAATAAAAAAGAAGTGCCTTAGATTAAGTCAATAACACATCTGTTTTTGATGAACATCGTAAAGCATTTATAACAGATTTGTCCCAGGCCTAGCAGACTGTTTGACTGACCTTGTAACCTTGAGCTGATCTCCTCTCACTGAGGTACTCATTCATGATCAATAAGCAATCAGGGAACTTGTCTCTGCATGCTTTGGCCATCGAAAGTGTTTACTAAGCAAGCAATCAGCAAATTACTGTTTTATTTGCGATCATATAACCTTACATTCACCCATGTCATCGGCATGCTGCCGTAATATTCATTTGCTAAATGCAGTAATTGACCTTCCAGCACATGATGCGTTTTCATTGGAATGAGGGAGGTACATTGTGTTCATTATTTTCCTTTAACACATGCTTGCACCTGTAATTCACCAGCCAGAGGTGTGGTTTGCAGACAGATTCCCAGCATGTCTGCAGCAGAATCTCAGAGGACACAGCGACACAAAGACCTGTCATCTTATGATGATGATCCCCACGCCATTAAACATATTTTAATATTTGGCAGTCACGTAAGAATTCAAAAACAAATCACATTCTGCTCTAATCTTTCTGCTGTAGTGTAGTATTCATGTGGTTTGCTTATGGTTAGCTAAATGTAAAATGTGCCTGAGCTTTAGTCCTTTGAAGAAAGGGAGGGGGCTGATTTTGCTTCAGACC